CTCCTCTACCTTATGCTGCAAAATCCATGCTTAGCAAACTTTGGTTCTCTGCTTCTAAAACCTTCCCTGAAGAATAATACTTTCTAGACCTATCCACACACCCAGAACCGTTCTCTCGAAAGACCCCCCCCCCTTTTCCCCCTTTCCTAATGCCTCTTTTTCTTTATTTCTCTATTGTTGTAGCCATTTTTTGCTCCTTCCTATACTTGTTTTCCCGTTCCCCATTCGCCTTTCTAAATCATGAGTGCACACGGAATGTGCAGGAAACTTTCACACAAAGATATACGTCATACAGTCGCGCCTAGGCCGCACTAGGCTCTAAAGCATCAATCAATCCATGACCGATCCTGCCCAATTGAACTCTCTAACTCTTATTGAAATCGTCTGGCTTTTGCGCTTGTCCACCCCCCGTTATAAGAGAGTAAAAAAAAGGTGTTCCGAATCCGATCCGGACATTGGGGATTGCCTTGTTAGTGAGACAACTTCATGAGACTTCGGCATATTATGGTAGGGTGGCCAGTTCCTTTCCACGTCGCCTGTACTTCCACAACTCGAAGTCATTCAGGCTCCCCTGCCGCCCAGTCTCATGTGACTCACGCTGACCACCCGGCTGACCCTGCTGACGTCATCATGGTGAACGAGTCCGTGTACGTGGCTGTGGCCATCGCCTGTGTCGTCGCTCTGCTCCTCGTCGCTGTCCTCATCATCTACTGCATCAAGAAGCACCAGGACAAAGAGATGATGAGACAGGCGCAGGAAGAACGGGCAAGGAGGGAAAGGCACAGGAGACAGCTCATGAGGTCACATATTGGTGAGTGGGCGGGGAAAGGTGTATCGACAGCCGTATGTTGTTGGTTTTTGTTATTTTGTTGTTGTTGTGGTTGTTGTTGTTGTTTGTTTTTTGTGGGTTTGTCTTTTTTTGTTAAGAGTTTTACGACACTTGCAACACAGTTACGTCAAATAAGGACCGAAGATTAGAGGTGTTATAAGAGAGTAAAAAAAAGGTGTTCCGAATCCGATCCGGACATTGGGGATTGCCTTGTTAGTGAGCCACCTTCATGAGACTTCGGCATATTGTGGTAGGGTGGCCAGTTCCTTTCCACGCCACCTTTACTTCCCCAACTGAAAGTCAGGTACCCATTACTGCTGGGTGGGCAGGAGGGGGCGAAAAAAATCCGTGTCCGAACCGGGACTCGAACCCGGACTTTCCGCTTCGGAGACGAGCGCACTAACCACTCCACCACTGCACCCACTATAAGAGAGTAACAAACATAAAAAGAGGAGGGAAGATAAGGACGACAGACGTTTGATGAGAAAGAAGGAGCAAACCACACTAGAGCACCCGCCAATCACCAACCAGGCCAGATGTTCATAATATGTACTACGCCTAAAATGTTTACTTTTGACGATAGCAGTTTCTTAATTGTTTATGGTCTCCGTTGCATATAGTTAGGAAATATTTTATCGAAATTCTAACTCTTAATGTTGTTTTTCAGTAGAGGTTTTACGGCGCTCGCAACTGCATAAGGTCATATGAGCGCAGCTTAATGTTGAAATAAGCTAGAAAAGATATAGATACATAATGCAGATATTGTTTTAAAAACTGAAGTAGTTTTTTAAATCTCTCTTAAAAACTAACGTTTTCTGGGCTTAGTACAACTGAACAGCTTACCGGAGACATATTGCCACCTCAGAATTACAAAGTTCTATCTGACATTTTGGGCCGTTTTGAGTTGGTAAGACCATGAGATCAGAAACCAAATATTCTATCTGCTCTATCAAAATTGTAAGATCATTCGGAGTGTTGTCATCAAGATATCTAAAGAATTGCATTCAGAAAAGCTGGACATGTCGAGAAACTAAAAATGTGTCATGCCAAATTTCTCAAAACTAGGCACTGAGCAGATAGAACTTTGTAATTCTAGAGTAGTGATAGATACCTGAATACCTGGAGGTATCATTCTGACTCAGAGGTTGACGTGCAATGAATGACCCATCATTGCTAGCGGTCGCTTGCTGCCGTCACGCAGTCTATCACACTTATGCCTGTCCATGCATTGGTGTTATTGGTCCATATTGTTTGATGTCCTCCTTCAGCCCCTTAGCCCCACGAGTGCCTTCATGGGCATATTATTATTATTAGCAGTTCAGGTACTATATGGAGTTTGTGAAACCAATTATGACGGGTTTTTTATTCTTAATACGACGTTCAACCTCCCCCCCCCCCCCCCTCGCAAAAATATAAATAAGAGAATATATAAATAAATGAATGAATGAAATACATGAAAAAATGAATAAATACATTAATTAATTAATTAATTAATTAATTAATAAAGTAATGGGGGAAATGCTGTCTCAGATTAGTTATCAGTCAATCAATAGACCTAGTTTTAACCAGAAAAATGACCCCCCACCTCAATAGAAAAATAACTCCTCCTCCTCCTCCTCCTCCTCCTCCTCCTCCTCCTCCTCCTCCTCCTCCTCCTCATCCCTCTCACCCACACTTCGTCCTCCTCTACCTTATGCTGCAAAATCCATGCTTAGCAAACTTTGGTTCTCTGCTTCTAAAACCTTCCCTGAAGAATAATACTTTCTAGACCTATCCACACACCCAGAACCGTTCTCTCGAAAGACCCCCCCCCCTTTTCCCCCTTTCCTAATGCCTCTTTTTCTTTATTTCTCTATTGTTGTAGCCATTTTTTGCTCCTTCCTATACTTGTTTTCCCGTTCCCCATTCGCCTTTCTAAATCATGAGTGCACACGGAATGTGCAGGAAACTTTCACACAAAGATATACGTCATACAGTCGCGCCTAGGCCGCACTAGGCTCTAAAGCATCAATCAATCCATGACCGATCCTGCCCAATTGAACTCTCTAACTCTTATTGAAATCGTCTGGCTTTTGCGCTTGTCCACCCCCCCCCCCCCCACCCCCGCCCAAACCCATATTTTCCCCTTTTTTCCAAGCTCAACCTTTTCAACCATCCTCTTAAAAGTCTAGGAACCGCCCACCTTTTTTTTCGTTTGTGGTTGTTGCTTATTTCTTTACTTCTTTTCTCATTCCTCGTTCACCTTTCTAAATCATGGTGGCAAATAGAATGTGCAGTCAACTTTTACGCGTAGAAAGAAGTCCTTTAATCGTCCCTTTGCTCTTAAAACACCATACAGTACTTGACCGAGCGTGTGTACCTGGCCTCTTTAACTCTTTAAGGACGTAGCAGACACTTAATCCCCGGAGCAGACCACAGACAATGCTAGGGCACGTTTTGAACGATCAGACACAAACCAGAAACCAAAAACTAAGTTTTATATTCCATAGTGTGCTGTTGAAACAAAGCTCAAATATCTTTTTGAATCAAGAAGTTAAGCTTCTTTTAATTCCTAAAGTGGCCCCAAAACAGCGAGTCTCCAATCATTGTCCAAAAGGTAGAAGTAGAATATACGTCTTCAAAGTCCAGGAATGAACTCTTCGACGGTTCTGCTTTCAAGAAACCCGTGTTTGTTACCTTTTTATTTAAATTGACTTTCTTTTTGCATTCCCGTGGTCGCAGGTCTTTCTCCGTCACTTTTGATGTCAGGATCGGTCTTTAAAAAATTATTTGCTGCACGATCCTCACATGAAAAAAAAAGGTGAAGGAGAACGGTCTTCGGCAACGGAAAAGCAAATAAGTCGAATTTAGACATATGTGGCATGCGGGTTTCTTGAACTGAATCGTCGTCCTGTTGAAATCCTTTCACTTCTAAAACCTGCGCAATTTAAACTCGTTATCACAGCTTTATACCAATGATTCTGCAATTATAATCATCACCGATTATGGTGCATTATTTTTTTCGTTGTGAATGCGGCTGCCTTCTACCGCCCGAACCAAATAATCACAATTCTACACGCTTCTAGGTTTACTATACCTATCTATTGAGCGTCGAGCAACGAAATCAGATCGATTGTGAAGACTTCAATAAATTGGAGTTCAACGTGTCCTCAATATTTGCAATACAGCGATAAAGCTCGTGCCCAATAGATCGATATTATGCTTTTCACGTTTATAGCTAGGGAAAATAATTTAATATCGACGACTTCAAAGGCACTTTGGTCTGAAAGTTCAACTGCTGACGTATGGTGCCTTTTCTAGGCGTTCTGGGTCGGTGAAGTCCGATTGTTCAATAAGGCCGTCTTTTCAAACTGGGGCACTTAGAAGTTGGCAGGCTTTTGTGGCTTTCTCTCGAGTAGGGGACATGGAATACAATGTCGTTACTTACGTAAACATACTTAAACGCGATGGAAAGAAGAGAGAAAGAAAGAGGGTGTGTGTGTGTGTGTGTGTGTGTGTGTGTGTGTGTGTGTGTGTGTGTGTGTGTGTGTGTGTTGTGTGTGTGTGATATATATATTTTAGAGATACAGAGAGAGAGGAGGAGGAGGAGGAGGAGGAGGAGGAGGAGGAGGAGGAGGAGGAGGAGGAGGAGGAGGAGGAGGAGGAGGAGGAGGAAGGAAGGAAGGAAGGAAGAGAGCATGTGTGTTTATGTGTCTGTGTGCTTGTGAGTTTCTGTGTATACGTATATGTTTGTGGGGGAGGAGGTGGCGTTTGTGTATATGACAGACATACAGATAAACAGACAGACAGAAAAACAGACAGACAGACCGAAAAATCTAGCTCAAGATAGGGAAAAGTGGAACTTGGCTGTCGGTGGTCTACACGTTGAACCAGGATGAGAAACGCAATGATTGTTTTTAGCTTTTGTTAGAGTTATACATACTTTTCAAGTGTGCAATATTAGAGGTGTCATCTAAAAGAAACATTCAACAACAACAACTACAACAACAACAACAACAACAACAATAACAACAACAACAACAACAACAACAACGAAGACAAAAAGAGGGAGTAAAAATAAAGATACAAAACGTGATGTTTGATCAGAAAAAATGCCCAAACCACGTCAGAATATACGCAAATCACCCACCCAATAATGATCTACTTACTTACTTTACTTATCCCTTTGACTAGATGACCGTTGAGGCACCATGGATGATCGAGCAACAACTTTTCTCCACCTTTCTCTGTTTTCAGCCTTTCGAAGGGTTTCATCCAAGTTGTTTTTTTTGTTTTTGTTTTTGTTTTTCTATAGTAGAGGGTTTAACCAAGTTTTAACCAGTCCATTTTATTATATTGTCTTCTCATCTCTCTTTCTGTCTACCTTTCCTTCTCCCTTCTTGAGCAGAGCCCTGTAGGTTCAGCAATATTGATGTGCGTTTTTTTCTATGATAAATGTTTGTACTTTACAGTAAGACCTCCCGCTTACGACCCGAACCGGCGAGAAGTTATACCGTACGACCGAGAACCCGTCCCGTACTCCCCTCCACCTGCTTACAAAGAGATGGCCACGCCCACTCCGCCGCGAGAGACACAGACTGTCGGGATAGGAGGAGGGACGTACCCGCCTCCTGTGTATGGTGAGTAATGAGAGACCATAGACTTATAGTCTTATACTATCCAAGATTGTGCATTCTGACATTATTCCAGTTCATCATGGATCGCATCAATTGAGTCAACATGGACCGATAATAAGGGGATGGAGGGGAAGGTTGCACATGCACTCAACTACAACAAGACTGGGGGGGGGGGGGATTGCCCATTATTTGCACGCCCATGGTATGATATTATTACATGTCTATGGTAATGAGTGACACACAATTTGAATCAGGCTGGTAGTGCCTAACTCATAGTCGTGCGGTGACCTAAAACAAAGTCTGTATTTTGATGTTTTATTGTATTTGTTTCACGCCCCAATCAACACAATTTAGTCCATTTAGGAGGCGAGTTTCGACTCCGTCTGTCTGTGGTAAGGGCCAACACGGGTTGAGAGGGATACAACATCCTAACGGAAAGACAGAGATAATCGATATGAATTCTCCCCACTCGGGAATCGAACACAGTTTCCTGCGTGCATCAGCGAAGCATATGAACCGCTACACCACAGCTGCCGGTTAAGAGTTGTGCTGGAACCTGCATCAAAGTCTTTAATGAATGAAATTCGCCACAGCACAGTAACAATAGCCTGGTTTCAAAAGGGAACATTTCCATTCGAGTTAATGATATTCTTACAGCGGATTGCTGCATATATATTCGTTTGTGTAAGTGTAAGTGTTTGAGTGTAACGCCCCTACCAACACTATTAAGTTGTGTAGGAGGTGGGACCTCCGAATTTATCGTCCGTCCCCAATAGGACTGTATTAATTTATTGATATCAACATTTGATATTAAAAACGTAGAATAGTGGTAACAATGACGAGAATTAAAAGAAAAAGCCCACACCCACAGGACATTAACAAGTTGCTCCAACTTTTATCCCTCCTTAGGCGTCCTAAATTTTTCAGGTCTCTCAGAAAAATGCGCACCTTCTGGGATAATTGAATGTATTTGAAAAAGTGGTTCTGTCACCATGGAGCTAACAGTAACAGACATCGGCGATCATTTTGCCAGTACTTATTTGTCTGATTGGGTGCTCTAAATATCTCTAATATTGTCTTGTTCGTTATTCCATCGCCCTATGTTCAATTTCTTTAATTAGTCATTTTTGAAGACCTTTGCCTCTTTGGCTTTCTATTTTTCCAGTTAGGGCAAGATGTTCAAGGCCTTAAGGTGTCCCAGAAACTTCATTTGTCTCTTCCTAATTGTTTTTAATTATTGACAGACAGACAGACAGACAGACAGACAGACAGACAGACAGACAGACAGACAGACAGACAGACAGACAGACAGACAGACAGACAGACATACAGGCAGGCAGACAAGGGAAAATGGGAAAATAAGGGGGGGGGGGGATGATGATGATGAAAAGACAATTTCTCATTCTGTCAATTTTGATTCTTTTTTCCATCATCTTCTTCTTTCTTTGTTTCTTTCTTCTTTCGCAAGAATTCTAGTTTTTAAAACAAATGCCATCCCCCCTCTCCTTACACTCACCAGAGCCCGTGCCCACAGTGTCTCGCAACGTAGCCCCAGCAGCCACAGTGTACAGCAACAGCCACAACTACATGACGTCATATACAACCGCCAACTCCAACATGCCCAGCCACCTCAACAGCAGTGGTAATCACCAACAGCTTCGTAACATCAACAGCAACAGCAACAGCAACAGCAACAGCAACAACTACAGTAACAACGACAACAACAACAGCGCTCTCAACTTCAGCTCCCAGCCCACCCACACCCAGTCGGCGCGAGAATTGTCTGGTGCCGTGCCTTCCACGATAGTTGTCGCCCCTTCCAACCCTAATCGTGCGTCACTTCCTGCAGAGAGAAGGAGACCCCAGTCGAGAACTCTCCGACTCGTCGACGCAGCAGATGCTCACAATAATAACCGTTACGCCAACACATCAAACAGAAACGGGATTATTCTGTCTGTTAACTCATCTAATGTTCAAAGAATGAACGCTGCAAACCAACAATATACCGAGGAAAATTCCTCAGCCTTTCAGCGACGCAATAACGTGGAGCCAAGGCAATCTCAGAACTACGCCACTTTGAATCATAGCCAGTCCAGGAATGCCTTTTCCGTGGACACGGGTTCCGCTTCCACTCAAACTGGACAGCCTAACCCTTACGCAGCTCAAGTAGCAAACGCCGAAACTAACTACAGCAATCTGAGAAATAATTATTCCCATACCCGCACTAGCCGTGCCATTGAAGACTTATCCCTGATTTAAATATGAAAAACGCATTCAAGTAGTCTTTACCGTAATAATGAAGGAATTGTCGTAAAAAGATGAAAAATTTCAGGAATGCTGCGTTTTAAGTCTTGAAAAAATCCATGAACAGTTTTCTTGCATACGAGGGCAGTGTTAAAAAAATCCCCCTGCTGCACGACAATGTTCCAATGCACAAAGTAAGGTGTGAAAACAACTGAGACTGCAAAGCAGCATGGGTACGAAATTCTACCGCATCCACCCTATGCACCCTCTAACTTTTTTTTCCAAATCCGAACAAAAAAAATCAAATGGCAGTGATGAAGATGCTATATCTGCAGTGGAGGAATGGTTTGTGTCCCATTCAAGGTCACGTTATGCTCAAGGACTTTTACAGATAAAACAAAATGGCAAAACTCTCTCTTCGAAGATGGATTTTGTAGAGCAGTAGCATTGTGAGTGTCAATGTTCAACTTTCTAGTTTGGTCCTTTCATAGTCAGGATAAAAGCTTAACGAACGCCCTTCGTACATTCGGAAATGGCCTAGACGGTCATCCATAGTCCGGGAGAAAAGTCCTAGACAGGCTAATCTCTCGGACAGTGTTATTATGATAAAGGAAAAAAATCATAAGAGGATAAGTAAAAAGTGGTAGTTTGTACAAGTAATTGTCTTGGACAGGTAATGGTTCGAACGGGTTCGACTGTGTTTCTCTGGGTTGGAACGAACTCCTGAGCCCGTCCAGATACACGTTTGGCCACTTTTGCATGCACGAGGTCAACATTCAGTTCAAGCACCACATTTGAAACGTAAAGTTTTGGGAGGTTTTAGTGTTTGTTTGTTGTTGGGTTTTTTTTCAAATCTAGAACCTTGACTAGAGTGCGTGCTCGTAACCAAGAGATTATAACTGTATTCCATCGATTCTGTTCAAATCACTTAATTCAGAAGTATTGTACATGGTGCCAGTCTATGTCTGAGGAACAGTGACCGCTTCCAGGAATTCAGCGGTATCAGAAGCAACATTGTCCCAACCTAGACTACTTTGCACACAAGTAAATCGCCACAAGCTCACTGGTCGTACAATGTGCTCCCAAACTCACTCAGACAATCATGTCGTTTAACAGTTCAGCTATAACATTTCTCTCGTTGCTGCTCGGTCTTTGTTCAAAAATCTGCTTGAAAAGTAATTATAACGGGCACGTTATTTCGCTCAGTTAGTATAGTCTTAGTCTTACGTTATGTGCAGATGATCCTGCCTTGAATCCCCAGAGGAACATTCTCGAATTTGGGAGTGGGGGTGGTTAGTCTGAAGACTCTAAGCACCTTTGATTAGGTCCTATCGGAGATTGACGTTAGATTTATCTTACATGTAATACGGAAAGAGAGGTTAAATCTGTTTAATACACTCCAGAAATGTTATTGTAACCATGTTTTAATACTATGTCTAACAAATAGCATTCACATCAAATGCCTCTACAATTGTACTGCTTTACTTCCATTTTAATGGTCCAACCGTTTAAACCTCTAACTCTTCGGATTTTACATTTCCCCTAACAACTTAGAGCCGTGTCCCACGAATATGGTGATATAAATCATTCAGCCACGAGATGAATTACTGTGCAAGAAATTGTATTTTTTTTTACTTTTGACGCACGTTCGATCTCACAAAAGGCGAGTGAAAGTATATTGAAAGTATACAATAACATTGAGAACTCCTACTGAACTGATGCCAGTCCCAAACGAACTTGTCTGGCCCTTCTTTCAAACGGCGTTGAAGTTGAAGGAGGGAAGCAATTACCGACGATAGTATTTTCAAAGTTGTTTTTTTTAAATGTATTATTATGGTTATGCGTGCTTATTTGAGAACTGTTTGATCTGAATTTGGCAGTGTCTTTCAGATAGAACGCTGTGGGGCAATTGTGCAACAAAAAGTAGTAACATGGCAATGTTGTCCACGCAGTTGTGCAAGTGCCTACTATGCAAAGATATATGACTATTTTTTTCAGTACTTCATATAATATTGGTAGCTTTTATTGAAGTGTACTCTGTATTTATGTGCTTACATGTGAGTGTGTGTGTGTGTATATGTGTAGGGGAGTGGGGGTGCACTGTAAACTCAGTGAACGGGCTAAGGAATTTGTCTACGATGTGGACAATCGAGCTTTTAAACTCCTCACTGTTTCGAGGGTGTTTAAAGATTTTAGCAAGCTTAGCAATTACGACCAATCAGAGTCCCGCGTTTGAGTGACTGCGTGGCCTCGTATTCTAAAGCATAATATAGTGTTATACCCAGTGTACTCTGCCAACTGCATTCATTTAATTAAGTTGAGGTCAACTAGATTGTTCTTTTTGGTACTAATGTCATTTTGCCCAACTCTACTGATTTGACTTGAAACCTTAAAAAACAAACATGTTTGATTTTTAAGGTGACAGTTGAGATTAGTTATAATCAGTCGTAAAGTTGTTCCCGCATCCGATCCGGACATTGGGGATTGCCTTGTTAGTGAGACAACTTCCTGGGCCTTCGGCATATTATGGTAGGGTGGCCAGTTCCTTTCCACGTCGCCTGTACTTCCACAACTCGAAGTCATTCAGGTACCCATTACTGCTGGGTGGGCAGGACGGGGCGAAAAAAATCCGTTCCCGAACCGAGTCTCGAACCCGGACTTTCAGTTTCGGAGATGAGCGCACTAACCCATCCGCCACCGCATCCTTATAATCAGTCGTATTTTACCAAAATAATAGCTTATGACTTGCCTATGAAGAAATCTCTGACTGGTCCGAACTCTATCGAATGAATCTGATTGGCAGTGTGCACTGGACATTAGCGAAAAGATCCCGTATGTGTGATCTGTGTTTTGCACAACATTTTTTGTGTTCTCAATTCTGATTGTCACCTCAAAACAGAACTAGAGGAAAAAGGAGTAGAAAAACGCGCATACATAATACATGTCATGTGCTCACACG